ATTTTTTCTTTTTACATTTTCAAGGGGAAGTACCAAGCAGAGTCTGAATGATGAGATTTACATGATATAAAATAGATATTAGAAATTTGAATGTTATAATTTTAGAATGCACAAATTTAATGTTTAATGAGATTTCATATGATAATAACAATAAGACTTAAAGGTGTTGCACTCCAATTGGCAATCATAGAGGGAATTTTGCTTTGTAAGAATGTTAGAAGAGAACATAATGAAATTGTAAACAAGACAGATGAAAGTATTGAATAAAAAGATATAGAAATTTAGGTAAAAGAAATACAATTAAATAAGAAGACAATGAGATAATCATAAAAGAAAATTAAGAGAGGTAAAGGGAAAAATAGTGAGAAGTTGGAAAAAGAGTAATAAGATATGAAGTTGAATATATAAGATGAATATGCATATGAAATTGTGTCTCTATGGAAATGTGATAACCCGGAACCATGCTGTACTCAAATAAGATGTTTTATTTGTTTCGTTAAAACTCAATAAAACTTTATTTTTAAAAAAATGCTGTTAATACCTCAGAATGCTCATCTCGCTCATCTATAAGTCGTTTTAAATGCAATGCCATGTTTTTTAGGAGAGGTTCAATATAATCTTGAGCCACAGCACTGTCATCCATCCACTGGAGATCAAACACATTTTCCTGATTATGAGTTACCTACAAAGAATAAATAACAATGATGTAAAACTATTGTATTTAAATAATTAGATTGCTAAATTTGTACTAATTAAGTGTAACTAAATGTGAAAAAGATTGGAGTTCAAGCTTGTTTTAATGAACAAATTATGTGCATTTTAATCAATTTTTAGAACTATTCTGCTACTACACTATATTCTTAGAAAAATTCACCTCTGAAGGTTATCAATTCTCTTATCTTTTTAAAATTGTATTTTTCCTTGCGTTGTCTCTAATTAGAAATTAACTCATCTACTAGTGATTTCTCTAATTTTTCTTCTAACTCACTTTGCCAGGGAAAAAAAGCCTATGCATTTGAAGTCATATCTTAATCCTGTGTAGACATTAAAATGCAAACAGTGAGCACTGGATAATTAGTTTTAATAATTAATATTTTCAATTATTATAGAGTGCTCTATTTCTGTTTGGAATACGCTGAATTTTTAAAATACTACCTAAAATATCACATTTTTATTTTCATATTTTCTTCAAAGAGCTCATTCCTGGCATGTTATCTTCCTTACCTCTGTGCATAAACAGAAAGGACATATACAATAAGGGATACAATTATTCTTGTTTAATCTAATGAACAAACATCTTCCATCAGCTAGAGAAGAAATAAAGTACTGTCTTTGCACTGTTTTCTGATCTTCCATGCAGTCACAACTAGCACATACATTATTAATTAATTAATTAATTTTTATCCTGGCATTATTGTTTTTTATAAATAGCTTAAGGTGGTGAACATACTTTAATCCTTCTTTTCCTATTTTCCCCATCACAATAACCCTTTGAAGTTGGTTGGCTGAGAGAGAGAGGCTCAAAGTCACCCAGCCAGTTTTTATGCCTCTGACAGGGCTAGAATTCAAGTCTCCTGGTTTCTAGCCTGGTGCCTTAACCACTAGATCAAATTGGCTTTTTTCCCCCTGGAGATTGTAAAGGATGTCACACTGCCTAATTCTTTCACCCTTTTTATTTTAATGTATTTTCTAATTTATTTATAAAGGTGTATTTTGACCTTAGCTAACTGAATTTCAAACAGGACCATGTTCATGGCCAGAAAACGTAATTCCTAAATTGATTTGTTGGCTGATAGAATTGTTGTCCTACTGAATTCAATGGTATTTACTTTAAATTATATAATTGCCTTAACCACCAGATCAAATTGGTTATTTTTGTGAAATCACTATTGAGTTACCATAGAAACTGGATTTTCATTAGTTTTGAATGAGATTTATAATGGCCAAGGCAGATATACTTTATTTACATTTAACCCTTTTAAGAAATTGTTTCAACTAACCTCCTTGTTCACAACATTTTAAAATTAATAAAATATTGTTAATTCACCACTTTCAATCTTTTCTTCAGGTGAAAACTTATCTAGCTTCTTTCATCTTTCCTCAGTTAAATTGACCACTGTTAATTCTATCACTTAAGCCTCTAACCATCGTTCTTTCTTGTTCCAGTTTAACAATACACAGAGTAGACTATTCCTGGTGATGCCTTCTTATCAAATAAGACTGAAGCATTGCTACTCTTTATAATTAACTCCAACTTCTCAGACTTGATCTAATATATTTGATATTTCAAGATACCCACAAACTAAGAAAAGAGGGTTTCATACTAAGAATTCAAGTAATATACAATTTCCTACATGTAATTCCTTAGAAAGAATCAATTTGGCTTTCTGAGAATTTGACATCCAGGTACAGTTTTATTGATATGTAATCTGTGATTTCCATAAATCAACTGCTATAATAACAGGATGACCTCCCACAAAAAATCAGAAAACAATCAGATCCAGGAGATGGATTGTTCTAATAATGCACCACATACAGTATGAGGCAGGAGCTCCAGAGGAAGCTTTATTGAGATAGGCTGAAGTATGTTTTCCCCCTTCCATTATACCTGTGAAAGTCAGAGGCAAACCAGTTTGATCTCTTTCTAAAACAAGTCCCTGAGCTTAATGCATATTTCTACAGTTGTTGCTTTAACAACTTTTCAATGGCTTCTCCATGGCTTCATGTCTTTGGCTTCTTGCATAAGCTCATCAATTCGATGAGAAGAAATGGCTGATCTTTTTTATTTAATAAGAAATATATTTTTTTTCAAATACAATAAACATTCTGCAGAATAAATTATTATAAAGACATTTGACTGCCTTTAAAATATTTTTAATAAATTAGTATTTTGTAATAATAAACAAGATATTTACCTCTTGTATATGGGCAGCAACAGCTGCTCTTACATCAAAATCTAAACTCTGTATTCTTTCAATGAATTCTTCTTTCTTCTGGCACTAAATATAAATTTTAATTAGTATTTATTCTATAGGTAGCTAAACAAAATAATTATTATTAGCTTTTTCTTATCAATGTAATACACCTGAAATAGTTAATAAACACACATCAGCATAAAATAAAATATTTACAGGAAGATTTGTGATTTGTTTATCATGCATTGTACTTTTTCAACTCCTTTAAGTTTGGCATATTGCCTTCCTGCTCCCAATAAGCATCGGCCATCATGGCTGTCTGGTAGATTAAAACTGTGATCAATAGTTCCATTTTAAAAGTTTCTACTGTACTGCAATACAATAGAAATTGTATAGTTATATTCTCTTTTTTTATATATAAATAAATTTTATTAAATTTACAATTAAAAACATATCGACATTGCATACACAAAAGGGAAAAAAACAAAAAAAGAACACTCGGTCTTACGAACCGGAAAGAGAAGAAATTGTATAGTTATATTCTCATTTTATTATCCTTTGATTCCAAAAAAACCATTTCTACTTCTTTTATTGAAGGGTCTATCTTTAATTTACTTGGAGACTTTTATTTAGAAAAGTGGTCATCAACCGATGGGCTGCAGCCCACTGGTGATCCGTGAGAAAATTTTGGTGGGCTGTAGCGTGCTGAAGACCAGATGGCTGGCGGGGAGGTGGGGCAAACCTGCAGTCTCCCTACCAAACCCGTGCCATGGCTGCTGCCTCCTACCTCAGCACATTGAGGAGGCCGAGCAGCAGCGGGAAGAGCGCAGACCTCCTGAGCCGCAGAAAGCGGCTACCAGCTATGCCCTCAGGTGAAGATGTTGCAAGGTGGAGGCTCAACCCCCTCTTCCTCCTCGCCATGCTCATATGCCCAGTGGGAAGGAGGAGACTTGTCGGGTGCCAGAGGGGTGGTGAGCGTTTTGTGTGTGAGCGTTTCTGGCGAGGAGGAAGAGAAGCTCCTGGGGGGAGGGGTCGACCCTTCCCCTCACATCTTCACCTGAGGGCACCGCTGGCAGCTCCTCGACCTCCTCGATGTGCGGAGGCAGGAGATAACACCAGTTCCAAGGTTCCTTCCCACCACCCCCTCGCAGGCCAGGGAACACCCGGGAAGGGCTCTGATGCCATGGTCTCCATCCACCGCCGGTATCACCACTGTTGCCCCACCTTCCCACCAGCCATCTGGTCTTGGCACGTGGCTCATCGGCCTCCAGACATCAGATTCTCACCACCCAGCACCAATTCAGAGGTTCCTTTCCCCCCATCCCCACCCCTAGGGACAGAGGGGGAAGAGAAAGAGGGAGAAAGAGAGAGGGAGGGAGGGAAAGAGAGAGAGAAAGAGGGAGAAAGGGAGAAAGAGGGGGGGAGGGAGGGAAAGAGAGAGGGAGAAAGCGAAAGAGAGAGGGAGAAAGCGAAAGAGAGAGGGAGAAAGAGAGAGAGGGAGGGAGGGAGGGAGGGAGAGAGGGGGAGAGAGAGAGAGAGAGAGAGAGAGAGAGAGAGATGAGATGAGATCCCGGTGTTTTGTTTTCTGTGGGAAACAGGTCCAAATGACTGAGTATTTAAGGTTGCAAAAACAAGCAGCCAAGCTAAGTGGCTGAAGGACCCCATCCTGCCAGTGGGAGTCCAGGCACTTCAGCAAGCGGCATGTTGGATTCATATTAGTGGTCCGCGGGATTTAAAATTATGAGTTTGGTGGTCCCTGAGGTCCAAAAGGTTGGCGACCTCTGATTTAGAAGAGGGCTGGGAAATGTGAGATCATTAAGATGTTGCTAAAATATATTCTCTGCTTACTGGCAATACTGGCTGGTTCTGCTAAAATATGATACACATTTTCTATCCTTGATTTAGAGGCTATAAATGGCAATCTCTTCAACGCTACAGAAATGCTAAACTATTTTTATTGAGATTGGCTATCAAAAATGCTTAAGCCCCTTTGCTCAGGCAAGGTTGCAGCATGACAAGACTACCTTCCTTATAATATACACCAGGGGTGCATATTATTGTCATGGCGGCATCACATGACGTATCAGGACTTTTCCCCCTTCGCTAAACCAGGTGTCGGTATGGCCATAACATGACGCATCCAGCCCATGGGCCGGGAGTTTGACAACCCTCATATACACTAACTCCCTGAAAACAGACCTTCAAAATAGCACTTATCTATTGAAGCTCTAACAAGCACTTGTGTCTCTTTTTGCCTTGTTAACAATATTATTAGAGCCTTACAACCACTTTCTCATGGACTAGGATATCCATTTCTTGTTTTATTGTATAGGGTTCTTGGGTATTTCCCAATGTAGGGGATTTAAACATGTAATGTTATTAGGTGAATTTTTGCACCATAAACATTCAAGAGAAAAAATAATCTTAGCAGAAAAAGATATTAGCAATGTTTAATTATATATAAGACTAGGAAGATAACATTGTGTCACTCAAATAATTATAGATAGTTCAAAAAATTAGCAGACCTTACCTGAACAGCACAACCAAGCAGAAGTAGTAGGAGTTTTTTTACTTCTTCAGTGCCTTGTTCTGAAAATATTTTTCAAAATATTTTAAACAATATACTGGTTTACATTTTCAGTAATATTGAACATATTCTGTTTTCCTTTCCCGCACTATAAGTTTTTGGGTTAGCAGTGGTTTGTACCATATATTAAGACATATGGTTGTGATTGCAATTTGATGTGGAGGATAAGCTACTCCTTCCTCAATACTGAACAAAACAGAACTATTTTCTATATAACTAAGGGTTATATATAACTTTTAACTATATAATTCTTTATTTAGTCATAAGAAATTCATTTAACTCTATATCCACAGTTAATTGGTAGAATACAGGTAGTCCTCAACTTACAACCACAATAGAGCTCAAAATTTGTTGCCAAGAGAGTTAAGTGAATTTTACCCCATTTTATGATCTTTTTTGCCACAGTTAAGTGAATCACTGCAGTGATTAAGTTAGTAATATGGTTGTTAAATGAATCTGGCTTCCCCATTGTCTTTATTTGTCAAAAGGTCACAAAAGGTAATCTCATGACCCCAGGACACTACAACTGTCGTAAATATGAGTCAGTTGTCAAGTGTTTGAATTTGGATCACATGACCATGGAGATATTGCAACGATTGTAAGTGTGAAAAACAGTCTTAAGTCACTTTTTTCAGTGCCGTTGTAACTTCGAACAGTCACTAAATGAACTGTGGTAAGGATTATCTGTATAAAATAAATATTCCAGTTTTCTATACTTACTATACTACACTGCTCAAAAAACTAAAGGGAACACAAAAATAATACATCTTAGATCTGAATGAATGAAATATTCTTATTAAATACTTTGTTCATTACATAGTTGAATGTGCGGACAGCAAAATCACACAAAAATTATCAATGGAAATCAAATTTAGCAACCCATGGAGGTCTGGATTTGGAGTTACACTCAAAATCAAAGTGGAAAAAAACACTACAGGCTGATCCAACTTTGATGTAATATCCTTAAAACAAGTCAAAATGAGGCTCAGTAGTGTGTGTGGCCTCCATGTGCCTATATGACCTCCCTACAACACCTGAGCATGCTCCTGATGAGGTGGTGGTCTCCTGAGGGATCTCTTCCCACACCTGGACTAAAGCATCCCCCAACCCCTGGACAGTCTGTGGTGCAACATGGCGTTGGTGGATGGAGCGAGACATGATGTCCCAGATGTGCTCAATTGGATTCAGGTCTGGGGACGGGCGGGCCAGTCCATAGCATCAATGCCTTCGTCTTGCAGGAACTGCTGACACTCCAGCCACATGAGGTCTAGCATTGTCTTGCATTAGGAGGAACCCAGGGCCAACTGCACCAGCATATGGTCTCACAAGGGGTCTGAGGACCTCATCTCAGTACCTAATAGTAGTCAGGCTACCTCTGGCAAGCACATGGAGGGTTGTGCGGCCCCCTAAAGAAATGCCACCCCACACCATTACTGACCCACTGCCAAACCGGTCAGGCTGGAGGATGTTGCAGGCAGCAGAACGTTCTCCATGGTGTCTCCAGACCCTGTCACGTCTGTCACATGTGCTCAATGTGAACCTGCTTTCATCTGTGAAGAGCACAGGGCACCAATGGCGAATGTGCCGAACTTGGTGTTCTCTGGCAAATGCCAAACGTCCTGCACGGTATTGGGCTGTAAGCACAACCCCCACCTGTGGACATCGGGCCCTCATACCACCCTCATGGAGTCTTTTTCTGACCGTTTGAGCAGCCACATGCACACTTGTGGCCCGCTAGAGGTCATTTTGCAGAGCTCTAGCAGTACTCCTCCTGTCCCTCCTTGCACAAAGGCAGAGGTAGTGGTCCTGATGCTGGGTTGTTGCCCTCCTACGGCCTCCTCCACGTCTCCTGATGTACTGGCCTGTCTCCTGGTAGCGCCTCCATGCTCTGAACACTACGCTGACAGACACAGAAAACCTTCTTGCCACAGCTCGCATTGATGTGCCATCCTGGATGAGCTGCACTACCTGAGCTACTTGTGTGGGTTGTAGACTCTGTCTCATGCTACCACTAGAGTGAAAGCACCGCCAGCATTCAAAAGTGACCAAACCATCAGCCAGAAAGCAAAGGAACTGAGAAGTGGTCTGTGGTCACCATCTGCAGAACCACTCCTTTATTAGGGATGTCTTGCTAACTGCCTATGCTTTCCACCTGTTGTCTATTACATTTGCACAACAGCATGTGAAATTGAATGTCAATCAGTGTTGCTACCTAAGTGGACAGTTTGATTTCACAGAAGTGTGATTGACTTGGAGTTACATTGTGTTGTTTAAGTGTTCCCTTTATTTTTTTGAGCAGTGTATATATACTATTTGTAGTAAATAATCAAAATATTATTTCTAGAGTTGCTTTTCACACAATTTTATAATCCATGAATAGTTAATTCTTATCTAAATACAGTTCCACATTAAATACGAGAGAAATGTTTTGTGAGGGACCTTTTTGAGGAACTTTATTCACCCAGCCACATTGAGAAAAGAACTAACATTGATTTCGCCCCATGTGAGGTGGAATCTCAGCAATGCTTTTCCTCTCAAGGAGGCTATTAGTGTGAATGTCCCTCCAAAAATTGAAGGACTTCCTACTTGGATTTCATGATGGCTCTTTTTCCGCCTGCTCCCAAGAACCAGAGGAAGTCTTTTCAGCAGCTTGCAATATTCCCTGCCAGCTTCTCCATTGACTTTCTAGGGAAGTCACTCAGGAAGAATGTGCATGGCAATCACATGTTTGCGGGACACTTAGCAACCTGTCTTAAGTATGAACGGGTTGTCAAGTACCCAGATTGCAATATCTTGACCATGGGAGCACTGCAACAGCCTTAAGTTTGGGTATGGGTCATAAATCCTTTTGTTCAGCATCATCATAATTTTTAATAGTTGCCGAACAAATGGTTGTTAAGTGAGGACTACCTGTACAAATATACAATGCATGTCAAAAATATTTTACAGTACTATGCAACATTATTAATAAATATTTGTGATTGCCAGATTCAGGCCAGGCACAGAAATAAATCTTGACTAAATATTTAATTCCATATTCAGAAACCTGCTTACATCTAATACATTCACAAATATGTTACAAATTTACTACACAATAATAAAGCACAGCCTCTCCAAAGCAGGGCAATAAAACCTTATATATAGGTATATACTACAAGGTTTATAGTCAAAGCTTTTCCTGCTTTTCTGAATCAAAGCATAGTTGTCTATTGTTTTAAAGGTGATAAAAAAACAATGAAATCTATTAATATAATATTCCTCCCTAAGCGAAGAATAACTATTTTCTTGCCAACTTCAACAAATAACAATTATACATTACAGTATGCCTATTTTAAATCAGATACAATGCTTACCTGAAAAGGGATTTTTTCCAATTATTAAAACATTTGGCAAAGGCATCATGATTAATTGCTGCAATGTCTCCTGTGGAAGTAGATTTAACTTTTATAACTTTTATAAAACATATACAGAGGTTGAACTTTCTGTATGTTTCTGGCAACATCTGACCTTAATTGACTATATTAAAATAAGCAGTAAAAATATCCCTTATTTACAAGTGTAATATTGTATGAACTCCAAGATACCATAACTTTACCTCATGACATTTAAACGGATCAATATTAGAGGTTTCAATTTTTGTAAAAGATGAAATGCCTAGAATATTTTACTTATTCATTTTGTTCTGCAAATATTTTTTCTTACAAATTGATATTTTTCTATTTATTGCTTCTTTTTGGACACTTATGATAATATTATTGTTTATGCCTCATAGAAAATTAATGTTAAACAAAAAAATCTAGAAAACCTATTAAGGAATGTTAGGGAAAGTTAATGTTAGGGAATATACATATTCAAAACAATCTATTTGTTTAAATGAGCAATATTAGAAGTTCCTCTTTAAGGATTTTAGAAATATATTTTGTGATTTGTACAAAGCAATGATTGCTGTCATGTGACTATAATTTACAACACTTTTGTCAGGAACCAGTATTTATTTCCAGTTTCCAACAAAACCCAGCCCATAGTGAACAATGGGTTCATTTAACAGCCATGGTGTTTGCTTAACAACTAACATGTTCATTTAATGTTCACTGCCATGTAACGTACTGGAGGGCTGCAAGAGAATCAGTCCTGTTTTAGTACACATATAAGCACTATAAACACTATAATATCTGTATCACAACATATTCTGATTATATTTTAAGATTTGAATAGAAACTCAAATTCAATAGCTACAGATGATATAATATAGGCACTGAAGGTATGACTGTTCATAAGGGTACTGGGCCAAGATACTGAGTCCAGCTTTGAAAGATGTTTCATAAAGATGAAAGTTAGTCATAATTAGCGCATATTTTGTTTGGTGTTTTTGTCTTTGTCTTTAAATTTGTTAAAAGCCATTTTGAATTGCATGATCATATAAATTGAAAAAAAAATAAAATAAATGGATTAAAGAACAAAAAACTCTATTTCATACTACTCTTCATGGGCTTGAGTAAAAAGCATTAAAAGTAATCTTGCTCTCAGGCATACAGTCTAAAACAAGTAACAGAAAAAGAGTTGAGAGGGCGGGGAGAAAAGTAAATTCTAGTTCTCAATGATATATTTGATTGGCCCTCTATCCCTGAAATGACTTCAATGTTATAATCAATATAATTGTTTCTTTGAATTGCCAAAGCAAAAATATAAATAGATGATTAGTAATTTATACTATGAAAAGCTTTAGCTGTCCAGTCATTTCCCCTTCTTCCAGAACAGATAAGTGGATTTAAACAATCACAAACCTGATAATATGATTTAATTTGTCTTATTAAAATAGACAAATTTTGAATTCGAAGTGATGCATCATTGTTGATCTTCTTATTTATTCTTTGACTAGGTACTTTAGGATTTCTGGGGGAAAATTGAAATAAATAAGTACTGTCAATTTATTTGAATTTCACAAAGAAAAAGTTACAGATCAGCAAACAATAAATCCTAAAATACTTAGGGTACTTAATTTATAATTTACATAATGTTGGAACTACACAGCAGGCACATTAAGCATCGTTTACAGTAGATGTTATATATTACTGCATAGATCAAGCCTTTTGTGGCTTTGAGTTTCATTTTTTAAGGAAGTTATAGGAGGAGAAGCTTAACATGATTTCTACTATAGCTGAATGCCCAGAATATATGGAACAAAACATAAGATAAGCAATTTAAAGAAATAAACTTGATGATAGTAAGAGCATTTAACTACCATGTTACATTTGTGCTCTTTCCTGCTGTGAATAAATATACAATATGTATACAAATATAAGGACAATTTTCCAGAATTGGAGAAACCACAAATACAGGTAGATCTCAAGTTATGACCACAATTGAGCCAGAAATTTATGTTGTTAAGTGAGAAATTTGTTGAATAAGTTTTGCCCCATTTTACGACTTTTTTTGCCACATTTATTAAGTGAATCACTGCAATTGTTAAATTAGTATCACAGTTGTTAAATGACTCTGGCATCCTCATTGATTTTGCTTGTCAGAAGGTCGCAAAGGGGGATCAACATGACTTCGGGAAACTGCAATCATAAATGTCAGTCAGTTGTCAAGCATCCGAATGTAAATCACATGACCATGGGGATGCTACAATGGTGTGGAAAATGGTCATAAATCACTTTTTTCAGTGCCATTGTAACTTCGAACAGTTACTAAATTAACTATTGTAAGTTGAGGACTACCTGTATACAGTCATATGAAAAAGAAAGTACCCTCTCTTTGAGTATTATGGTTTTATGTAGCAAGACATAATAAAAATCATCTTGTACTTAGTGGTTTTTAAAAGTAGGTAAATACAACCTAATGAACAACAACACATGACATATTACATCATGTCATCATTTATTTTACAAAAAGAAAGTCAAAATGAAGACATCAGCAATGATCTTAGAGAAACACCTGTTGCTGCTTATCAATTTGGGAACTGTTATAAGGCCATTTCCAAACAATTTAAAATCCATCATTTTACAGTGATGAAGATTATTCACAAGTGGAAACCATTCAAGACAGATGCGAATCTTCCCAGGAATGGATGTCCCAGCAAATTCACCCAAGGTCAGAACGTGCAATGCGCAGGAAAATTGTAAGAGTTATATCTCAGACTCTACAGACCTGTTAGCATGTTAAATGTTAACGTTCATGACAATATAATTAGAGAAAGACTGTATAAGTATGATATGTTTGGAAGAGTTGCCAGGAAAAGGTCTCTTCTCTCTAAAAAGAATATGGCAGCACACTTTAGGTTTGCAAAGTTGCATTTAAATAAATCCCAAGATTTCTGGAACACTTGGATAGATAAGACCAAAGTGGAGATGTTTCACCATAATGCACAATGCTAAATTTGATGAAAACTAAAAACAGTGTATCAGCACAAACATCTCATACCAACAGTCAAGTACGGTGATGGAGGAGCGATGATTTGGGCTTCTTTTGCAGACATAGGACCTGGGCACCTTGCAGTCATTGAGTCAACCATAAACTCCTCTGTATACCAAAGTATTCTAGAGTCAAATATGAAGCCATCTCTCTGACAGTTAAAGCTTGGCCAACACTGGGACATGCACAGGAAAATTATCCCAAGCACATCAGCAAATCTACAACAGAATGGCTGAAAAAGAAAAGAATCAAGATGTTGCAATGGCCCAGTCAAAGTGCAGACCAAAACCTGACTGAAATGCTATGATGGGACCTCAAAGTTCATGAATCAACACCCACAAACCTCAATGAACTGAAGCTATGCTGTGAAGAGGACTGGGCCAAAATTCCTCCACAACAATGTGAGAAACTGATAAGTCATACAGAAAGTGATTACTTCAAGTTAATACTACTATATGTGATTCTACAAGCTATTGAATCATAAGATATACTTAGTTTTTCACACATTGCTTCTCCATTTTGGCTGTCTTTTTGTAAAATAAATGATGACATGGTATAATATGTCATGTGTGGTTGTTCATCTGAGGTTGTATTTACCTACTTTTAAGAACTGCCAAGGACCAGATGATTTTCACTATGTCCTGATATATAAAACCATAGAAAAAAAGATGGTGTAATTTCTTTTTCACATGATTGTATAATAAAATCTAAAAAAGTCAAACTATAATTAGCAAATCATATTAGCAAACACAGTAACTAAGATTTGAGAAAACATCTGAATGGCTATAGAGACAATCTGGCAAATAGAACAGATTCTTTATTGCAGATACCCCCAATCTTCTTCTTAGTAAGATAAAGAATGGTTTCTACAGTATTATTTCCTTCTATGTATATAAGTGCTGCTCCAGGGCTTAAACCCTGAGCTTCTTTTCTCCTGCCATTTTTGTACTAGACAGCTGTTTCTCACTATAGTACTTAGCTATTTACAGAAGGCCTGTTTTTATATAATGGTTTTGTTCCAAGGATACAAACTCCAACTCTCACATGTACCTACAGTGACCATATGTCCTTTATCATGGGGCATATAGTATAGTTTTATAGGTATCGTATAATATACATCCTTTATTTCAGAAAGCTATCCTTTAGATTTATTTAATTATTTTCTTGGGTTTGTTTTTGAATTTTCTTTGTAAATGAAAGTTATAAACACATTTTTTTTATCCTTGTGAACTTCTCAGCCTTGCCTTCTTTTCAGGTTTGTCCTTTATTTCTTCCGGGATAAAATGGTCACTCTCAATATTAGAAAGAATGTGAGAATGATCTATCTATTGGCTTTTTCTACCACCAGCCCTGCCTGATCCAACTAGCATAACCTGCAAGAATATATAATTCGAATTGGAATAACAGAGTTAGAAGGGACCCTGTAAGTCTTCTAGTCCAATGCCCTGCTTAGGCAGGAAACCCTATACCACTTCAGACAAATGGTTATCCAATCTGTTCTTAAAAAGAAGACAAAAAATACAAAAAAGAACAAAGAAAAAAAATACAGCCTTCTTTTAGGACTTGCTGCCACTGCTTTCTTTTCTTCTATCAATCTCCCAAACAAAGCCCAAAGAAGCAAAATGCTTTCTCCTTTCTGTTAAAGTGAAGAATAAAAGAACATCTTCACCCCATTATCTTGTCCATTTGGAGAGGATGTTTGAGTCAAGATACAATTTACTACCAAAATATTTGTATTTGGACTTTATTAAGAACACCCAACAGGAAAAATAGGTAAATTTAGGCTTAAATAAAAGTATTATGCTTCAAACAGAACAGATGAAAAACTGATAAACATAATTACACCTGAGACAATCAAATGTACACTGATTATTTGCCTTGAACAAATACAACCTTAACACCACTTTCTCTCAGATGGTCACTACATATATTTGTTTCTGTGCATTTAGATTTCTTATTGAGACCTGGAAGATTTCATACCACCACTTCGGGGAAACAGGCTTAGATTCTTGCTATTGGTCTTCAGAGGAAATTCAACAAAAGCAAAATCTTCTAATATAGTAAACTCACAGAATTATAAGGGTGGGAAACTCCCTTGGAAGTTATCTAGTCAAAACTTCTACTCAAGTCAGGAAACCTTATACCCACCCCAGACAAATGTTCGTCCAGTTTTATTTCTATAAAGTGATACATGGCATACTAAAGTACATTATTTTCATGATTAGCAGCCCAGAATCTATGACATACACCCCAAAGGGTTCAGTTTGTCCAGTTTATTTGACTAATTAGTCTGATATAGCTTTCTACATTGTTAAAGTTAGTTCGATTGTAAATTTAATAGGAAATTCGGTTAGAATTCCTCGATTCCTTTCAAGAATAGCTGCAAGAATTAGCTCCCCCCCCCCCCCCCTCCTGTAGATGGTGGCTCTGATTTTCATTTAGAGTTTTTATTTATGGAAATACCAGCTAGCCACAATAAATGTGACCAGAGTTCCAGCTAAGAGAAAAAGAACTGGTAATTGCTAAATTATCTTCAGCCTGCAACATAGTAGGTCCCTTATGTTAATGATAAGCTTTGCTTTGTGTAATGAGCATGATCATATTCCTTCTCAGTGATCCATTTTCCACAAAAGCATGTACACATGAGCAGCCGCTATTTTCCCTAAGCAAAATATACCCAGGATGAGTTTATTCTTTAAATCATTAATAAGTAGTAAGTTTTTCATTTCAAGATCTTTGGTATATTGTCCATATAAATGGTGGTAAGCTCAAGAATATGCTTGACATGTTTTTTTATTAATGTACTACAGATAATTTCCATCAAAATACAACTGCTTTATTCATCACATAAGCAAAATTTAACTGTTTTGAAAAATGTTATTCTGATTTTTTTTTTCCAAAATACAGCAACATAATTTAAAATTTGTGGTGTGACAATTACAACAGTTGTTGATACTGCACAGGTCTCACTTGTGTGTTTGAGCTTCAGTTTCATTTTATGTACATCAATTAGAAAAACATACTCATTTGGGAAATAAACTAACAGCAATCCAGGGTCACCACCTTTCCAGGAGACCTCCAACAAGCAAATGGAGGAAGCCAGATTTGCTTAATGACCATGGTGATTCACTTAATGGCCATGGCAAAAAGATCATAAAATTAAACATGAAAACCATAACAACCATATCACTTAACAATGGAAGTTCTGGTCCAATTGTGTTTGTAAGTTAAGATGTGGATTTATTTTAAAAACGACATCCTTATCAATGGAATGAGTTCCATTAGCAGAAAGAAAGTTATTGTTTCCTCAGCCCTTGTACCCCATCTCTTAAAACAGAGGAGAGAGGAAAAAGATATTAGATAAGCAAAATTTCACTCATTGACATTACATTTTACTCAACATTTCTAGCAAATGAACATCCAAGAAAATTAATATATAAGATTATAATTTAAATACAAATTGACATTAATTCTATTTC